TGTTAGCAATGCTTCTTAAGGCCCATTCAACCTCACTCTTCAGGATGTCTGGTTCTAATTCATTCACCACACCGTCAAAACTATCCTCAATATTATTATCCTTCCTATACAGATCTTCTGTATAGTCTCGCCACCTTCTCTTGATCTCTTCAGTTTCTGTTAGGTCCCTGCCATCTTTGTTTCTTATCATACCAATTTTTGCCTGAAATTTACCTCCAATGTTTCTAATTTTCTGGAAGAGGTCTCTTGTCCTTCCTATTCTGTTGTCTTCTTCCACTTCTATGCATTGCTTATCCCCTTCATAGGCTCACCAAAAGTTGGCAGCACATAATAATAATATAATAACTTTATTTTATATCCTGCCTCCATCTCCCCAAAGGGACTTGGGTGGCTTACATAGGGACAAGCCCAGAAGACACAGAATAAAACACGATGCAATCAAACAAATCAAAATTAAAATCAAATAATCAAAAAAATAAAATAACATAACAACATTAAATGCTTTCTGTCTGGATCGGTTAATTCAAAGTGGGAGCAATTAGGGGCATGAATCATCCTTGGGGTCTCTAAAAACCTTGAGCCTGATTGTCTAGTTTCTTGTCAGTTCGAAAAATGGAATGAGATCTCCAGCTTCAGAAAATCCCTTAGCAAGAATGGTACGTATGTAGAAACATTAAAAAATGTATTTTGAATTTTTATGTAGATTTGTTGTTGCTGTGTGTGCTACAAATTGTTTCTGACTTATGGCAACCTTAAGGCGAACTGATCCTGGGGTTATATGTGTTGTCCTTTTGATTTTTAATTTGACATTTGTATTTGTTTTTGTTTTTATGTCGTCCCTGAAATATATACATAGGCATTTGGCTTGTTTTAATATAACATCACATCACTGAGCACTCGAGATGTATTTCCCCCTTTTCCTCTGTATTCTCTTTGGATCTCTATTTGGCTCTTTTCATCCATGGAAGCCAGAGCTTAACTTGAAAGACCTGAGGAGACAATTGACTTGACGGCAATAACTTTCTATTTTTGGGTGCATATCCACGGTAGAATTGATGTAGTTTGACATGACTTTAACTGCCACGGCTCAATGCTATAGAATCCTGGGATTTGTAGTTTGGTGAAGACCCAGCACTATTTGGCAAAAAAGGATAAAGAGCTTATAAAACTACAACTTCAAGGCATCCTTAGCACTGAAGCATGGCACTTAAAGTCATGTCAAACTACATCAGTTCTGCAGTGGAGATTTACCCTCTGACATTCTCTCTTTCTCCATGATTTGCTGTTTTTGTTACTCGAATAGCATACTATGCACAACTATAGCTAATAGTTAATGTCTCCAGCTGAATGACATCACCAGAGAATGTCCCTTGTGACATCAGTAGAGCTCATTTCCCATGACATCACAAGAGGCGATTCTTAGGTCTCAGGTATTGATTCTGAAATGAATGACATGGCATCACTAGGTGACAGTGGAGCCCCCGGTGGTGCAGTGGGTTAAACCCCTGTGCCGGCAGGACTGAAGACTGACAGGTTGCAGGTTCAAATCCGGGGAGAGGTGGATGAGCTCCCTCTGTCAGCTCCAGCTCCCCAAGCGGGGTCATGAGAGAAGCCTCCCACAAGGATGATAAAAACATCAAATCATCCAGGCATCCCCTGGGCAATGTCCTTGCAGACGGCCAATTCTCTCACACCAGAAGCGACTTGCAGTTTTTCAAGTTGCTCCTGACACGACAAAAAAACAAACAAACTAGGTGACACACCTTGTGACATCACTAGGGTTCAGTTCTTATGACATCACAAGGGGCCATCCTTAGGTCTCAAGTATTAGCGTTAACATCATAGAGCTTGAGTCTGTGTTAGTAAAAAGTATTTTTCAAAAAGTCCATTGTGACATCAGGACTGCAAAAGTCCATTGTGACATCTATGAGGATTGAATGAAAAGTAATGCCTCCACCTTCGTTACTTGGGTTTGGATGGGAATATTTTAATAAATCAAACACAGAAATAATCCTTAGAATGTGCTCTTTAACTACCATTATTCACTTTCCCACATTATCACCAGACAATTGGATACACTTCTGCCAACAATGAACAAGTTTTCTGAAGCCGTCACGGAAGAAGTCGACACTCTCTTTCCACAACCCATCATGCACAGATCTTCTGATAGCCAAGCAAAGCAATAATGTGACCCACATGTTCTTGTGAAATGCCAGTTATGTTTGAAATTTCTCTCTGAGTGATACGATGATCATCCTGAATCAATCTGTCTACCTTTTGCTTCTGAAACTTGGTGGTTGCTGTCATAAGACATCCAACTCTTTGTTTGTCATGCAAGTCATATGTTCCCACCTCAACATCTTTAAACTTACTCGCCCAACGACACACAGCACTCACATCAACACAATCACCATAAATAGCTTGCATTCCCTGATGAATCTCCTTTGGGGTGACACCTTCTGCTGTCAAGAATTCAATGACTGCACGTTGCTTAAGTCGCATTGATCAACCGTCTGCACAGGGTTCCATACTTCGCACTTTAACAACACAACTGTTCATTGCTAAGGCTTCCCACCAAAATGGAACTGTAGAGGAGAGTCTACTGAACAAGCCAGTTCCTGCAGCATACCAGTATTGCTATCTGTTGAGGAGTTGCGAAGGTGGAGGCATTACTTTTCATTCAACCCTCGTACTGAAACGTTTGGGAGATGTAAGACAGCTTTCTGCCTTGATTGAAACGAATTTCTGTACCACACTAATGGGAACAGTATAACAGCCAGTAGAACTGCAGAACTAAAGTTCTCCAGCCAGCTAGACCAGTGGAATTCTTATGGGATATATTGTCTGGGTACTGAATCCATCCAAGTACCTTTTCTAAGTTTTGTTTCAACATGGTTACAAATAAGCAAGCCCTGTGTCAAATCACAGCACAGCTATCAAATAGCTGGGCTTCCAGAGCCCTGCTATGGCTCATCCTGGCATCATTAGAGATTTAGTTTATTTTATTAAAAGGAAACTTAAGGAGCTGGAATTGAGAGAACTGCTGTGCTGGGATGCTGGGAGCAAAACAGTGTTGCTCCAGTTACTTACCCACATAGAGGCAAACTGAATTTCTAACACCCAGCAAGAATTATATGTTGTTGGCTCACATCCTCAATTCGTAAAAGTACGATTCAGTAACATGCAGTCTTCCAGATAGTGCTGGACTGCAACTCCCATCAGCCTCAGCCAGGGATGAGGGGAGATGAGTGTGGTTTGCCAACAACAGCTGGCGCATCACAAATTCTTCAGGGGAAGGGCAGATTTTGGCACATACCCACTCTTTAAAAATTAGAGAGGTGCCTCCCAAATGTGCACAAAGTTCACGCCATGCACTTTGCATAGTTTGGAGTTTGTTCCAAACAGCCGCAGAGCATGTTCTGAAGGCCATCTGGTCCAGAATCCCATCTTTATTGAAGTTGTTTCAATAATAACTCCCTTGATACCGACTGCCCCTGCTTCTCCTGTAAGACTAAATTCAATGAGACATCACAGGGAAACTAAAATAGTTTATGTCCTAGAAGTAAAATTTGTCCCAAAGCTCTGACCATCAATAGACTAGGGAATAAGTATGGTGCATTGGTTTGAGTGTGAGACCAGGGTTCAAATCCTTATTGGTCCATGGGAATGCACTGGGTATTTATTTATTTATGTATCATGTCAGAAGGAAATTGAGGATGCAATTATAATAAAAAAAAATAAACAAAGTTAAAAACTTGGCATTATACTAGATTTCCTTTGACCAAAAGCTGGCCACTTGGAGTGCCTCTGGTGTCCATTGTGAATGTGTCAGGGCTCAGGTTGCATTTGTAGTAGGTGGTCTGTGGTTTGCTCTTCTCCACACTCGCATGTCGTGGACTCCACTTTGTAACCTGATTTCCTAAGATTGGCTCTGCATCTCAGTGCCAGAGTGCAGACTGTTCAGCGCCTTCCAAGTCGGCCAGTCTTCTGTGTGCCCATAGGCGATTCTCTCATCTGGTATCAATCATTGATTGAGGTTCTGGGTTTTAGCCTGCCACTTTTGGACTCTCACTTACTGAGGTGTTCCTGCGAGTATCTCTGTCAATCTTAGGAAGCTGTTTCTTGATTTAAGGCATTGACTTGCTGGCTGATAGCTGAACAGAGGATGGTCTGGAGATGTCAATGCCTTGGTCCTTTCATTACAGGTTGTGACTTCCTGACGGATGTCTGGTGGCTCAATACCAATTAAATAGTACAATTTCTCCAGCGGTGTAGGGTGCAGACATTCTATGCTAATGCGGCATGTCCCATTAAAGGGCCAAATCTACTGTTTAACGTGGTGAGATGTGTTCTACACTGGGCATGCTTACTCAAGCAGCAGAGTAGCAAAGAGCATGGGCAGATGTCTTCACTATATCTCATGAAGATATATCGCAAAGAAACACTTTCTTAGCCTCAGAGGAAGGTACATGAAACCCTACCTCCCAAACAAATCTTGCCAGAAAAACCATATGATAGGCTCAACCTAAGGTTGTCCATAAGCCAAAAACAATGTGAAGGCATGTAAGACAAACAACAAATCTATAGGCTGATACCACACTTCTTTGAAATAAAAAAGTCAAAGCAAAATTTAGAGATTCTTCTTCCAGCAGAATGTGAAATAGCCAAAAGTGCTTCAACAAATCTACACTGTAGAATTAATGCAGTTTGACACTACCTTAACAGCCATGGCTATGTGCTATGCAATCCTAGTTCTGCAAAAGGGTGCTGGTGCCTCACCAAACAACAACTCCCAGGTTTCCATAGCATTGGTTCATTCCCATAGTTGTGCCAAATTGTATCAATTTTACAGTGTAGAATAGATAAACTCAGTTTCTCAGTGACGTTTTTGCACAAAATGCTTTCCATAAACAGGCCCACTCTAGGTTAATATCCACTTGAAATTCTAAAAACTGTGGATAAAAATCTGCAGTAGATCCTTACAGAAAATGGAGACTTACCTCCGATGTCACTGGTTTTAACTTGGACATTGTAAGTTGTGTAGTCCATCATCAGTTCTTCATTAACTATTGCTGGCATTTCCCACTCCAAGGTCAGATTGTCGCCCCATTGCTTCGAGAGCCAATCATTGTAGTTAAAGGTGGTCACCTCCTGAGTGGTCAAATTTTTCATGATGATCTGAGAAAAAGGCAAATAAATGGAAGAACTTTAGTTTCAGCATAAAACCTGGTCCTTTTTTAGCTTTAAAAAGGAGCAACCACAGAATTTGTTTAAGCAACCAGTGATGTAAATGGAACTTCATATTTTCACATAAAACACGCAAATGATGATGGATCCCCTCTCTAGGCTGGCCCCATATTTCCATTCCTTGGGTTTCTGTCACCCACCTCTCCCATTTCCCCTTTGAGGAACAGGAACAGATTTCAAAGCATATTATTTGAGAACTCAGAAATGCTGGACCACTCCAATATCGACCATGTCAGACTACACAGAGAAGCCACAAGCATGTGGACAATTTCAACAGAAAGGAGGAAACCATGAAAATGAACAAAATCTGGCTACCAGTATTTTAAAAGTCTAAAATTATAACAGTAAAATAACACTCAAATACAGGGGCTGGAATAAAAAAAAAGAAAAAAAGGGTCTGGAGAACAAGCCCTATGAGGAGCGGCTTAGGAGCTGGGCATGTTTAGCCTGAAGAAGAGAAGGCTGAGAGGAGATATGATGCCATGTATAAATATGTGAGAGGAAGCCACAGGGAGGAGGGAGCAAGCTTGTTTTCTGCTTACCTGGAGACTAGGATGCGGAACAATGGCTTCAAACTACAAGAGAGGAGATTCCATCTGAACATGAGGAAGAACTTCCTGACTGTGAGAGCCGTTCAGCAGTGGAACTCTCTGCCCCGGAGTGTGGTGGAGGCTCCTTCTTTGGAAGCTTTTAAACAGAGGCTGGATGGCCATCTGTCAGGGGTGATTTGAATGCAATATTCCTGCTTCTTGGCAGGGGGTTGGACTGGATGGCCCATGAGGTCTCTTCCAACTCTTTGATTCTATGATTCTATGATTCTAGAAAGAGAAGGACAAGCAGAGAGATCTTCAGCCTAGATTCCCCCAGGCACTAACAAGCCACACCTAAAAACTGCCAGGCCATCAAATGCCAATCAAGGTGGCCAATTGAAACATTCACACCTGGCTACAACAGACAAGAGTTCTTTCTCCCACCCCGGACATTCCACAGATATATAAACCCATTTTTTCTAGTTTCCAACAGACCACACAACCTCTGAGGATGTCTGCCACAGATGCAGTTGAAATGTCAGGAAACAATGCTTCTAGAACATGGCCATACAGTCCAAAAAACCTACAACAACCCAGACCTCAAAAACTTTGAAGCATGAAACATGAACAAAAAGGAAACATGGAACTAGAAATCCCTTGACTTGACAAAAGTTTCATACTCAAACACCAATATTGCCTCAACTGGTGAAAAACCTGCTGGTCTAGCTAATACAGACAGAAAATCATGCCTTCTCCCCTGGGAAACAGATAAGGACTTCTTGGCTTGACCTTTGTAAACTATCCCGAGAAGCTCTGTGTCAACAGAATGTAAATCTTCTATCTAATTGCTCATTGGTCTGTCCACCTGGACTTTCATTTTCATCCTCTGAGCTCAGTTCTGTTTCTGACCTTGCTTCCCTAGCAAACCGCTTTTCTGGAATGTGGCCTTCAGACAAAGACCACTAATTTTCAGGTTTTAACATCTCTTGCTGGCTCTCCTGCTGCTTGCAAACCCAGAATCCCTAGTGTCATCAGGCTGATTTAACAAGCCCAGAATCCCGAGATATCGGGTGTAGTCACAATTAAAAGCTGGACTACAACAGCTGGCCTTTCACGTTTGTGGGTTTAGCTTTTGAAGGTCTGATTGTTTGCAACTTTGATGTTCTCCCTAGGAATCTCTAGGTCTTCCAGTGGAATTGTATGGTCAATTTCTTCTGCCTGTTGTCCATAGAGCCATGAGGAAGGACCTGGTAATTTCCAGAGAGAACACTCCTCTAGACATTCCTATGAAGAACGCTTAAGGCATTAGTAGATACTCCAATGAAATTCTACGGTCAACTTTCAGCAGATGTTGACCAAGCAGTTGTGTTGGAGGACCTATGTCCTCTTTGAGAGGTGTTCTCACACGTATCTCACTTTTCCCAGTAGTTCCCTAACTCCTGCAAAACTTGAGGGCCTTCTGTTTTTTGTGGCTTCCTAAAATGCTACTCAGCTCTTTCCTCTGGCTGACTGTCCTATCTCCATTACAGCAGCTTTCCTTTATCCCTACAGTTGGAACATCAAAACAGATTAGGTCCTTCAAGTTACAGCCTTATCACAAAGAGCTAAATTTGGCGGCATGCACTGGTTTGGTCCACGTCACCCACGGATCCCACCGGCTCCCATCAAATGATGCCAATGTGATTCTGGGAGTGAAGGAGGACAGAGGTGATTAATGCTACTGCTACAGCAACACGGGAGGCTTCCAGTGTTGCTATTAGAAGCAATGAAGCTGTGCAATCGATGCTTCTCCATGGAATCAGCTGGGAGAGGAGTCGCACAATGCAATGCATGAAACACGGGGTTCCCCAATCCCCTGATGACATGAAGTGATTCTGGTGGCCATGTGATAAGATCGTTGGTGGTGGTGCTTTTAGTCCAAGGAGAGAATGTAATTGTGGGGGCCATATCTGTAGTTTAACTTACCCACCCCTGGGATAAAATGGTTTCTCTAAGAAATCGGTAGGTCCTCCATGTGACGTTATGTTTCCCTGGAAGTTACCACCGGATCACCTAGCAAATTCATGGAGAGGAATCTCTAGGTCTTCCAGCACAACTCTATGTTATGCTGGGACTGAAAGTCTAGTGATTTAATGGTAATCTGTTTTATTCACAGTTTCATGGAATCATAATCTAGTTAGGGGTGTACTTGTATAAATACAGCCACTTAGCTGCTCACTTTTATTGGTCTTTGTTATCATCTGTTATGAAAAGAAGAGGTAAGGCATTAAAAATACTCTTCTGTTGCCATTTCACTGGAGCAGAAAAGCTCAGAATATTATGCATGCATCTATCAAGCCACAAATGGTTAATTACATGGCTGACGGCTTAATTTGCCTTCTCGTCTTGTCTACTTAGCACTGACAGTGCACCATCTGTTTTGACGTTCCAGCTCTTCCCCCACAAGAACTCCCGTATGTTCTTACTCAGATACACCTCCAACACAAACGGAGGTGAGCTCGGATCAGTGTTCGCACCACACTGATGGCTCACTAGAAACCTACTGTCATCAGTTATGGGAAAGGATGAGGAACAGAAGTGTTTTGGATCTCAGATTATTATTATTATTATTATTATTATTATTATTATTATTATTATTATTATTTGAAACACAACAGGATGAGTCAACAGACACTCTGCTGGCTGTTGAATTGGATCACATGTCGGACACTTCCCAAGTGTCTAGGACTGTGTGATGTATCGGCGAATAATGCATGCAGATCCCGGTAAGATGGTCTTCTGCAGCTGGCAGATGGTAATTTTTGTCATCGCTGATTGTGTTTAAGTGCAGGCCAAGGTCTTTAGGCACTGCACCCAGTGTGCCAATCACCACTGGGACCACCTTGACTGGTTTGTGCCAGACTCTTTGCAGTTCGATGATGATGATGATGATGATGATTATTATTATTATGAATTTTGCAATACCTTCATTTGCATATATCTACATAATGTGATATCACTGCATTGTTTTCATTGCATCGTGTCATATTTGATGCTTTAGCCACCTTGAGTTCCCACATCACAAGATAGTTGGGATAAAAATTAAATGAAATGCATAAAAATAATAAATATCTTGGAAATGGGACTCAAGACTAAATGCAAAATTCACTTATAGATCCATTATACACATAGCCTGAAAGTAATTTTGGACATGAAACAAATGTGTATGTTAAACCATCATAAAGCAAAGGTAACACTATCTCAGCCATACATGTGAACAATTTTAGAATATTTCAGATTTCAGAATTTGGAAATAAGGTTACTGATGTCAGAAGCCTGCTGCTTCTGACATCAGTGGGGAAATTAATCCTTTCCACACTTCAAAAGAGTTACCCCAGACTCCATCTGCACTGCAGTATAATGCAGTTTGTAACAGTAATGCAATTTTGTGAGTTTTCTCCAGAGGGAAAATGATGTAGTTTGGGTGTTATTCTGCACAAAATCTGCAAAAAGGTTTTCGGTGTATTTGCTATGCAAGAGAAACCATTTTGGTGCAGAACATGCTGTTTTCTTCACCCATTTGGGCAGAATAAAAGTCCATCTGCATTAGTTTGACACCACATTAACTGCCTCAGCTCAATGCTATGGAATCTTGGGAGTTGAGGAGCCAGACTAAATTCATTGTACAGCAACTATCTTTTTTTCTTCTTCCTTTAAATAATTATATCTGACCCCTTATTGAGGGGTCTTATGACAGTTTAGAGGAAGGAATCCCACTGGAGCATTGCAGCACACCCAAATACCTGGGAGTCACTCTGGACCATGCTCTGACCTACAAGAAGCACTGCCTGAACATCAAGCAAAAAGTGGGTGCTAGAAACAATATCATATGAAAGCTGACTGGCATAACCTGGGGATCACAACCAGATACAGTGAATACATCTGCCCTTGCACTATGCTACTCTGCTGCTGAGTATGCATGCCCAGTGTGGAACACATCTCACCACGCTAAAACAGTGGATGTGCCTCTTAATGAGACATGCCGCATTATCACGGGGGGTCTGCGTCCTACACCACTGGAGAAATTACACTGCTTAGCCGGTATTGCACCACTTGACATCCGCCAGGAAGTAGCAGCCAATAGTGAAAGGACCAAGGCAGAGACATCTCCAGCTCATCCCTTGTTTGGGTATCAGCCAGCACATCAACGACTTAAATCAAGAAATAGTTTTCTTAGATCGACAGAGATACTCGCTGGAACACCTCCGCAAGCGAGAGATAAAAAGTGGCAGGCTCAAACCCAGCACCTCAATCCGTGGGTGATACCAGATGAGAGACTCCCCCCTGGGCACACTGGACAACTTGGAAGGCGCTGAACAGACTGTGCTCTGGCACCACGAGATGCAGAGCCAACCTTAAGAA